AAGAACATCTGGATCCTTGACTGGATGCTTGTGAACAATATGATTTGCCAAGATGCTGTAGAACATGTTCCTGGACCAACACGCTTTGTTGGTACTCCAAAAACATTCATATTATCAATCAGAGTTCTGCCATAGCCCTGACCCTAACCCACCCTTGATGTTAAATGGCACTAGTTGGTTGAAAAGAATGTTGTTCCACTCCTCAGACCCAAAGCCTGAAATCAGAAGGCACAGACTTGTTGAAAGTGTTGTTGCAGGCCCTAGCAATAACTTTAATCCAGGTATGTCCAATCGTGATCCTGGAGAGCCAACTTCCTACAGAGAGGCCTCCTACAGAGTTTAGCTCCAATCGGCTCCAACGCACCTGTAAGTCCTCAAAATATTGATTAGCTGGTACAGGATTGTTCAATCGGGGTGGAAGCTGAAATATGGCCTTCTATGAGCAGAATTGGACATCACTGCCATACCCCTACCCCTGAAATTGCACAGCAATGATTGGTTAATAGGAAAGTTATTGCAGGACCTCTCCCTAACTCTAAAACCAGAAGGTGTAGCCTGGTTGATTGGAGTTTTGCAGGCTCTAAAAACAACTCTAAACCAGGGATGTCCAATCGTGATCCTGGAGAGCCAACTTCCTACAGAGAGGCCTCCTACAGAGTTTAGCTCCAATCGGCTCCAACGCCCCTGTAAGTCCTCAAAATATTGATTAGCTGTTTCAGGATTGTTCAATTGGGGTTGGAGCAGAAATATGGCCTTCTAGGAGCAGAATTGGACATCACTGCCACACCCCTACCCCTGAAATTGTACAGCAATGATTGGTTAATAGGAATGTTATTGCAGGACCTCTCCCTAACTCTAAAACCAGAAGGTGTAGCCTGATTGATTGGAGTTTTGGAGGCTCTAAAAACAACTCTAAACCAGGGATGTCCAATCCTGCTCCTGGAGAGCCAGCTTCCTACAAGAGGCTTCATACAGAGTTTAGCTCCAATCGGCTCCAACGCCCCTGTAAGTCCTCAAAATATTGATTAGCTGGTTCAGGATTGTTCAATTGGGGATGGAGCAGAAATATGGCCTTATAGGAGCAGAATTGAACATCCCTGCCACACCCCTATCCCTGAAATTGCACAGCAATTATTGGTTAATAGGAACGTTTTTGCAGGACATCTCCCTAACTCTAAAACCAGAAGGTGTAGCCTGGTAGATTAGAGTTTTGCGGGCTTTGATAACAACTCTAAACCAGGAATGTCCAATCCTACTCCTGGAGAGCCAACTTCCAAGAGAGTTTAGCTCTGTTCTGCTCCAACACACCTGTCACTCTTGAGTATTTTCAATTAGCTGGTTCAAGTGTGTTTAATTAAGGTTGGAGCTACACTCTTTAGAAAGGTGGCCTTCCAGGATGTCCTAAACCTACCAGCAAATCAAAGGACAATGATAGTCAATAGGAGTGTTGTTCCAGGACCAACAAAGGATGTTGAAACCCAAACATGTCCCACTTGTGTAAATCACCAATTGGGGATGCTTACAGATACAGAAATTTAAGATCATGTGATCACATTCAAGGCCCATCCTACAAAAACTCTATACACAGAAACCACCTTTGTCCTCTCCCTTTACATAAGGTCCCCATTTCCATTGAAGAAGCGAGGCAGGTGATTGCCCTTAAACTTTGATGATGGAGGAGGACAGTGGGATGCATCTGCAATCCATCCCACAGCAGGGGCATGGCGGGCAGGCTAACTCCTGCGGTGGAGTGGGCTGATAGATGAAGCCCTCTTTCCTGGCCTGCCACACACCCAGACAGGGCGAGCTCCATGTGGGAGCAGCAGGCCCCATAAGATGATGAGCCAGACTGCGAGGAGGAAACAGGTCACAGTGGCCTCATTAACACCAGCACAAATACACACACTTGCCAAACAAGCATCACACTCAATCTCACACACTGCACTGCACTGCGAGGATAGAGCTGAAGTGTTTTTTGATCCAGGCCTTTGGTATTTCAGATGATGGGATTCAGGTAATTGTGTTTTCCTGGGGATCAGGGTCAGGGGAAATGTGAATGGCTCTTGCACTGTGGGTGGGATTTACCTGCAGAGGGATTTCAGCCTCAGATTTGTCCTGTCCAGCTGCTGGAGAGTGCATGAATCATAAGAGGATGTTTATTGCTCTACTCCAAGGGCAACTGTGTTTTTTTGCCAATTAGCAGAACAATCAATTCCCAGATTGCACACGTAGCTTGCAAAGATATTTATATTTTTCTTTGGAATTTGAACATCTGTGAGAACATTGATGAGTTCCTTAAAACAGGACGCAATGATTTGTTATTTGTGATAACATACATTTGCTTACCAGGACATCAACCAAAAATAAGTTGATATCTTTCTCAACACCATGATTGAGTTCTTGACCACCTGGACATCACCACAAACACTTTGTTGAACATGTTTCTTCACCTGTCTCCCATATAGTATCATGCTTAACCCTCTGGTACTGTTCGCGTGTCGGTCAAAAATTAGAGATTTTTTTTTCTGAATTAAATTATTGTGCTATATTTTAGTTCGATGATGTTTTATATTTAATATTTTGTACTTTAAGGGTATTTTTTTTTTTTGTACTAAATCATGTTTATGCAGTAGTTTATGCAGTAATCCATTTATTAACTTCCAACTTAAACTGCCATAAATCTTGAATGCTGTGGAGCACAGACTTAAGTTTGGTCTCTTTTTAAATATGACACTTTACATATTATTGCTGAAGTGAAAAATGTTGAAAAAAGGTGAACTTGACATTCATTTACATTTATTGTTATGAAAAATGTGAAATGAGAAAATCAAAGCCATACATCTAAACAAGAAGTGTTCCAAATTTGAGGTTGATATCTATAGTAATAATTTGTTTGTGTGCAGTACCAAACGCTTCCATTAGATTCAATTTGTTTATTTTGACCGCTAACAATACAAGTGAGATCATTTTTTCAGGATCTTTTCGAATCATGTCCATGATTTTATTTTTGTTCACACAGCAAGTGCCAAAACCAAGTTTTGTACCATTCCGATAGGTTAAAAAAAAAAGAAAAATTTGGGGGGTAAAAAATTACCGAACAGCACCAGAGGGTTACACTGTAGTCATCGTTTGACCAAGGAAACTATACTTCTCAGTTGTGGTGACATTTACTTTTTTTTATAAAAATAGTAGATGGATACTTTAGCACAGCATTCCTCTAAGCCTTTGCCATTACTGTTTGGTAGGCCGCTTTCCCTTGCTGTGATGGCTAAAATCACAGCTTTGAGAACTATTGCAGAGCTAGCTGATTGATATTGGAAACACTTGCGAATACCCCTTTTTGCAATGGCAGGTTTCCTGTTTCAATTTTCAAGGTTTATAGAGGCTGTCAGTAAAACCCAGCTCCCCAAGACTGCTTTTTTATCTCATCAAACCAAGAAGGGAATATAGTTCTATTCAGGGGAAACATCAGCATCAGTAATATCCAATTTACTGAGAAAGGAAGGAGGCGGTTGATGTGACTATATAATAACATGCTACATGAAGCTTGGCAATAATGAATATGTGAATAGAAAATCCATTTATGGTAAAGGAAATCAATCTAAATCCAAAGTAAATCAAAGCAATTAATAACGCTTTGATGCAATCTACAGAGTGCAAACAATCACACAAAATTATTCATAGCAGGAAGTGAAGCGTAGAAACAACCAACGACCTTATCTAAAACTTCAATGATCGCTTAATAGAGAAACCCAGACACAACTTTCAACCTATGTAGAAAGAGAGCGAGTGAAAGAATTACAGTGGCTATCTTTACAATAGTCTCCTACAGACTGCCTGATGCAACATCAATGGCTTGTAGTTTCACAAAATGTACAACATCTCGACTTCGAATATCTCTAGTATTTTAGAAAGCTCCATTCTAACCTTTCAACTTCATTTTACTGTCTTACAACAATACAAAAAGAAGGCTTATCTTTATAATATCTGTGTTGCTTGTACATATTTATCTCAAAGGAATTGATATTTACAGTTAACATTTGTTCTCATGCTTTATGATTCATTTAAAGTTCAGCAGTCAATTGGATGTCATGGAAACCCACAAAGTCAATTGACTTTCCCATCATTGTGTCTCACATCTCAGAAAAGCGTCTTGGGAACGTGTTTTAGATTTACATCTAGAGTCGGCTGCGATGAAATGCTACAGCTGCTAAGATGATAAATGTAACCTTGGTAAGTCCTGTGAAAAACTGCCACCTCTTTATGGCTGCATAAATACATAACTATGCATGTTAATTTACACACTTTGTTTGCAATTTACTGTCGGATGAACGTCCAGTATTGCTGGCATCAATTAAAAGCACTTTAGTGCTTTATGCAACAGGCTGTCAACAGAAAAACAGCACATCTGCAACACATCTATCATTTATATTGTCCACCATGAATATATAGGACACGTGTTAAACAGTTTAGTCAACCATGAATAAGTAAAGACAACATATCTATTGTGTGAAACCATTAATAGCAATCATAGGAGTTAAATATAACTGGCTGCTGATTACAATGTATCATTTTTACTCATCCCTCGATTCGCAAAATGGAAAGAATGAAAAAAGGCATTTTTTTGGTGGAGTAACTTCTGGTTTCTGTTGTAAGTTCTGTGGGTATACAGTTATTTCCAAGTAAAGCCGCAGACGATCCCGTGGACGTCCACGTCCCTTTCTGGATTCCTTGTGCACAACCAGGTTTACTGGATTTACAAGTGCTGACATTGGTTGGTCATTGTTATTATTTAATTACATTGTGATAGTCTATTGTAAAAAAAAGAAGAAGGCGTTTTTACAAACTTTTCCATGCTAATGGACAGTTATCCAGTTTACTTATTTAACTTGCAATATTAATTTTCCCTTTGCATTATAATGCAAAAATCATTTAGCAAAGTTGAGTATTAAGGGGATTTTGATTTACTTGTTCTTCTGTGGAATGAAATGTTCCCTTACCTTCAGAATGATGGGACAGGGTCAGAAGGCTCACACAAGAGGCACCGATTCCTGATCCAAAAACAGTGATGCGATTGGAATCGCCGCCGAAATAGCCAATGTTCTCGCTTATCCAACGCAGAGCCTGGATCTGATCCAGAATCCCATAATTCCCTTTAGCAGCCTGGTCTCCTGTGCTGAGGAACCCTGTAACACAGTGAGCACACATGGCATTGAGAAACCTGCAGTATCTGAGGGATCTTCTGAAGTCTCTTGTCAGACAAATTCATGGATTTTATCAATGGATTTGAATGATACTTCACATTGTGTGGCTATCTGAGGGGAGGTGTACTTTCTGACTTTTTGCCTGGTAGATGATAAAACGAATGAAAAAAATCTTTGAATGTGGGACTCAAGGCATATCTTTAAACCAAAATATCATAGAGACTTCATACAGGAATCGGCTCTTTTGATTTTAAAACCTTAGCAACAGCACAGTTTTTTTCCAAAACACTCTGAATACCTTGGCAAATGCATAGCACTGCCTGGCCACTCGCATTTTCTTTATAACATGGAAAATATTGTTATTGTATTATTTTGCACCATTATAAATACCTAACAAAGGCAAATGTAGAATAATGTACTGTTGACCAATCATTGCACTCAACCTGTATTTATGTAGATAAACTAGGGATGCACCGATGAATCGGCCAATAATCGGCATCGACTGTTTAAAAACAGCCAATGATGAGGGCCAATTATATCCTGTCAATTAAAAGGGGCGGGAAAAAGTCAGATTGCAATTCACACTGTGTTTGAAGAAAATCTCTCCTGTTGAATTTAGGGCTGTCAAAGTTAACGCGACAATAACGTATTAACATTTAAGCTTATCATTTAGTAGCGATGTTAAAGCTCTGTTTGACCCAACGAATCACCTGTAGTTCAAGCCAGGGTTGCAGGTCTGCGATTTTTCCCTACATCAAACATCATTTGTATCGTCTCCTATCCAATCGCAAAGAGCATTGAGCTTTACTTCTGATAAGAAACAAAGTCTCAGCTTTCAAATTCAGTCCATTTTATCACGAAAATCAAACAATAAATGGCATTTTAAATGTGACATAACTGTACATGACTGTAGTAGCGCATCAGTTTAGGCAGTATTAGAGAGAAATTTTGTATCGGTGCATCTCTATGAGAAATTATTTACAAATGTACACAAAAGACAGAGATTTCCCAGCGTGGAATAGAGCAACTACACTGAAACAATGTTAATCTACATGTTGCCTCCCAGAAGAGCTATCATTAGAGCTGGTGACTGGGAAATGAGTTTTCTGATACACAGAGGCTAAATGTTTTATCTGGATTGCTTCCTGTCTTCACTCCGACAGTGGATGGTGAGATTTGACAACCTGACATCTCTAGAGGGAAAGCCTCAAACTGCAGGGCTGGTGTTAACATGTGTGCCACTGCGTGTTCGTGCAAATGCGAGAGAAAACCAGAGCCTGAAATAGAGAAGGGGAGAGTGGGCGAGAGAGATAAGAGGGGATTCACTAAACAGCCGTGAGACATTAGCATGTAGCATTTCGGTGCAAACTCCTGGGTCTCATTCACTACTAACCACCTGCAATTCAGTTGAAGCAGGCAGAAAATGCGCTGTAATAGTGCCACACCATGTGTATTTAAAAAAATGAAGCCATATTTTAGCTACATTGATCATGGCAGATGATCAACATGGTGATCAAATAATGCAGAAGAGCATTACAATCAAAGGCAATTTCCCTCCAGAGAGTGTGTTTGTCTCTACAATTAAGGAGCCAGTGAATGATGGGTAATATCATTCATATTCACAGAACAACTGCATGAAATCTCAATTTGATAGCTGTGTCTGAAAGCTACAGTACACGTCCAAATCCAATATTTGCATAACCTCGTGCCTGCTGAGCTGTCTTCATCTGGTCGGTTTTTGAAGGCAGCAGAAAGCATCCTTCAGTGCCTATCCCACAATCCTGTGCGTGCAAGTCAGTGGTTTAGTGGGAAAAAAATAAAAATGCCATCTTAAATGCCCCCTGAAATCATTTAGTATTATTATATAGAATATTTAGAAATAATTTAGTATGAATATGTCAGCCTTAAGGTTATGAATAAGCTGGTGTTTTCCAAAACAATGACAATATTTACATTTAGGAGATGTAAGCATTCACTCATTTCCGCTAAAATGGATCTCGGATTTTTATGACATCCCCGTGGGCTTCAACTTCTCATCAGATCTTCTGTCCAATCAAATGCTCTCTAGAATCTAAAGCTCCATGCTATATGCTATAAACCTATGCTATGAACTAGGGCTGTTTTCGACTAAGGATTTTCATAGTCGAATCTGATTCGATAGATTTTGCCGTAGTCGACTGATAGTCGAACCTTTTTTCTTCTTTATTTTTTAGATAGCAGCTAGACGTTCGGTTGAATAACTGTTCGTCTGTTATAGGACAACTCGCGCTACGTTTATTTAAAATGAACAGCAAGACAACTAGAAGTGAATGTGCTTTCCATTAAATGAATCCTTAACACAAAAAAAACGTTGCAATGAACGTGCTTTGTTTTAAATAAATCACACACAGTAAACAAAACCTTAACAAAAAAACTTTGCAATGAACTTTGCAATTTAGACGCGCAAACTGCGTGCCGGTGCGGTGAGACGTAGCCTACATGCTCGGGCAGATTCGGCTTGAAGTCGTTCATCCTCGGATCCGGCGTCGCGCGCGGTTACAAAAAAAAGCTGAAATGGGGTCCTGCCGGTCTTGCGCACCCAACGCGTCATTTTTTTGCCGTCCGCACCTTCGCGCTCGTGCGGGCGCGTCGAGTATAAACAAGGCTTTACTCCGTGTTAGCGCGCGCTCTGATCGGTAAAGGTGCACAGACCTCTCCCGAATCATCTACAGCAGTCAGCCTCTGAAGCACCACTAACTCCGTTTCCCTCGTAAGCTGATATTAGTATTTAGACATTCTCTATGATAAAAAAATGTTTGTAAAAAATATTTTAATAGCACGGTTTTGGCGGTTATAGAGTTCTGATTACGGTGTTCAACTATAACCGTCGGTCTCACGGTTATATAATAACCGTCACACCCCTCATAACACTTGCCTACTATTCGACTATGAGGTTCATAGTCGAATCAGACCTCTCCGAATCGAATCGTCGAATCCTCGACTATTAGAAGTAAGCCCTACTATAAACACCCATAGACAGTCAAATAAATGGACACAGCGACCCCATAGACTTCAACGGAGAAAAGTGAAGTCAATACGAAGCACTCACTTCCTGATGGCGGAGCGACTGCGCAGACTCACACTGAGCTTGATGACGTAGATGTGACGTGAACAACCTGTACGTCTTCTAGTAGCGGTGCCAAGAGGAATCTGAATCATTCCCTTCTGAATCTTGCAGAGCCGGAGATCGTGAGTATTAGCTGTCCATGAGCAGCAGGAGCAACTTTACGACTCTCTATGGGCTTCTCTCTTGACTCTATGCCTCCACGTCCCCCCGATTGCCCGCGAGCTTCTACTTCTGTCTATACAGCCCGTTCTCATCCCAAGGCGTCATACATGTGACGCTTTGGACATTTCGTCGAAATCTTACACACATGGCATCCTTTAGCGTCAATATGAGACGCAGAACCCAAGGCGTCATACAGGTGACGCTCGTCTAAATCCAACGCACATGGCATCGTTTAGCGTGAATATGAGACGCAGATCCCAAGGCGTCATAACCGTACCCTACCCCAGACCTAAACCTACCCATAACAGTGCGTGTTATATTGACACTAAAGGATGCCATGTGCGTAAGATTTCGACGAAATGTCATATGGCGTCACCTATATGACGCCAAAGGATGAGAATGTGTTGGTCTATACGGTAATTTCGCTACTGTGCGACAGAGAGTCGCGACGCAATCGTAGCCTATTTTTACAAAAACTGCTTCTACAGGGCCATAACGTAAGATACAAGGTAATGGAGCCTTTTATACATTGTCGTGTTTCTTTAGAAATAAACAATGGACAAATGGAGTCTTTAAACGCCTCAGATGTAAAGTTATTCGCTGTCAAAGTGACGCCTAAATGAATGGGAGTCGATGGAATGCTAACAGCAGGTGAAGGCTTGCTAGCCAATGGCGGCCCCCAGGGTAGCTTCGGTTTCCGGTTGATGGATTACCCCCTTGTAAACACCACCTGGCCAAAGCGACCGTTGACACGTCACAGAGTCATTCTCATCTCTACTATTGAATCCAGCGTATCATCAGCGCTCGGATTCGCTTCCATGGTGCTGTCAGTCTGTGAGGGAAACTAAACGCTATTGGCTATTTGAAAATGGGAGGAGCCATTCAATACGTCCCGCCTTAGCTTCCTGTTTCAGTGAAGATTACGTCAACGCATCAAACAGAGCTGCGCGATCCAAGACACTTCAGTGAGCCTTTAAACTGACAAAAATGGTAGCCTAAAAATAGAAACACCTACGTTAACTGGTTTTAATCAAGTCAAACTAATTATTAAATCAAACTAAATCAACAAAACTAATTTTTATGGGTTTAATCAGATTGAAATAGCTTAATAAGGGAACAATTTAGCAAGCAGGTTACCAATTTTTAGGTGTATGAAGCGGCTGAACGAAGTAAATTAATGAATATGATCTGATTCCATTTCCTCTGAGAAATAAGTGTTGTACTCACATAATATATGATTGACTTTTCTTGGGAGTAATCTTTACATAAAAACATGACTGACTGGACACAGCTTAACTTATGTGAAATAGACAGCGAATAAACGCGTCTTTATGACAGCAAATTATTGTAATGCACTGTTCCTCTATGGACGGAAAAGAAGGCTCACCATCTTGTTCCCCAAATGCATTTTTATTGTGCTTTCATCAGGAACAAATCAATTAAACAGCATGTAATATATTAGCATATCAAATAAAGCGTGCAAAGATAGGAAATAGGTTTATAGAGAGCAGCTTTCCTGAACATCTCAAGGGCATTGGCAGACATTCTGCACTTCATTATGTCACTTTATATTGACGTAGAGCCACACGCCGAATCAAATGAGAGTTAAATCACTTATATTCATGCAAAATACATCGCTGCATTTGTCTTCTCAAATACTCGTTAATGAGCACAAACATGGCATTATTCAGAGATCACCCCAACATAGTACAAC